CACTACACAGTCACCCTCACTCCCTCTCTCTTTTCTAACTTACTTGGTAATTATGATATTTATTTACAAGGTATATATTTGTGTTAAGTTTGTTTTACATTGATCCTGCTCATTCCCTTTCCACTCTTTTGCATATTGTTTTATACTACTTATTTACATTCAGTAAGCAATCGTATTCCTACTAATTTTCACACTTATGTTGTAGCGCAAGTTGTACTGTAATATTCTGAAATGTTCACATAACTTATAACGTTTATTGTACTTATCATTTTATTTATCATTATAATTACTGTACCTCAATCACTGTAGCCATTATCCACAGTTTTTTGCATTTGCTTAAACGCAACAGTTTCCATATGGTTTGCTCTTGGTTCGGGTTTCGGTTGTTCGTAAATTGTTATCAAATTTAGACACAGCTATCAGCTACCACCATTATATGCTTCGCTAAGGGTTGTGGCTGTAAACATTTTTAGCAATGATGAACTGTGTTACATGGCCACATATTATGTCATATATTCACTGAAAATCGGAAATATGTGTAACTGGAATCGCCTAATAAGTAGTTCAATACTAGTTCTATCATTTCATGATTTAAACACCTGATGGCTTGAATACGTTTTGCATCACTGAAGAGATTTTGAAGTACAACAAAACAACAGATCATCACTATTTTCATTTTCACTCTATAAAATAATCCAAAGGGATTAAGGTTGTAATGAATGTGTTTAGGTGATGTTACTTTCGATAAGTTGGATCATTTCATTATCACAAACGTCTGTATGACTCTGATCAAGTTGTTCCGAACAACAAAGAACAAATTGTAATTAAACCAATCAACTAAATGAAGGCTTAAAAACTATCAAAACTATTCAGTCTGAGATAATATGACATACAACTACACAGATTTACAAATGAATAATTAACATTTATGAACTAAATCCTAATCAAGAGACAATATGATCTAAACAAAAGAATCAATTGAGTTAAAAAAATATATATATGATTATTAAAAAGTACATTGAATAGACAAATAATCAACGTGATCGAGTTGTAGTCAATATAAATATAACGTTAATTCATCTTTGAATTGGTTGTTTTAGTCTTCTCATTGATGTATAGGATTTGAATTGATCAGTCTCTTAGTAGTATATGACCATCTCCAATATTACCTTAAGCTACAAGCATTATAAGCAAAAATGAATAGTAGTTAACAGTGGAATCCAGAACGTGCGTTACGTTTTATTTAGAACTCATCACATGGGTATACTTGTATTCTATGAATTAAACGTCAGCTCATTGCACAAATGAGCGGCTATCCTAACTCAGTAGCTAAATGGATGACCCGATGGTGCTCCAAGCAGACGGTAGTAAGCTCGAGTACCAGAATGAACATCAACTCTGGAATGCAGATATATCCAGCTGACGAAGCCCAGACAGAATGAAACGCGTGTATTGGATCTCACTGCTAGCCATAGTAGAACGAAATAGCTATCAGGTCATACCGCTTGGTTTTCTATGGTTTTCCAAATAATAGTCAGTCTGTAACGTAAGCAATATTGTTATTGACTGAAAAAAAATGCTCATCAATTTTAGTGTGCAAATCTGATAGTAATAAGTCAGTCAGTCAGCTACAACGTAGGACCAGGCACATATATGCATCGGTCCAGGTTGCCATACCACATTAGCACAACAAGATGAACACCGAATTCATAGCAGTGGTTAGATCAAAGGTGATAATATATAAGAGAAAGATTGCATATAAGGATATAGTACAAGAAGAAAGAATTGGTTCGTAGAAAGAAAGATATGAAGCGATTTTAATCTCTTAGTTTAAGGGAAGACAAGGAGTATATACACCAACGCCATTGTGATCGATTCTGAGCCATGTCACCAAGAGTCTCCAACCATTGGTTACGAAAGTCACGCAGACCCCAATCAAGTAGTCTGCATCTACCAACATGGCTCAGACTAGAAGTTAGTGACTTCAAGCACTGATGCCACGTTTTGGTTTGGCCGCCTCTAATTTTCTTCCAACCATCCCGAACACCGGGTAGCATTGCACGTCGTGGTAATCGGTGTTCAGGCATACGTAACACGTGGCCCAACCATCTCAGTCGATGAACATTCACAACCTCGTCGACTTATTTACCATCACTTCCTAATACCCTGCGTCTAACCTCACTATTACTTACCCGGTGATCCCAACAGATGCCAGCAATATTTCTGAGGCATCCGTTGTCAAATACTAGTAGCTTACGAGTGTCTTCTACTCTTAAAGGCCATGTTTCGCTGCCGTAAAGTAAAACAGAACGGACTGCCGCGCAGTATACTCGTTCTTTTATAGATAGACGGATATTTCGCCTTCGCCAAAGGTGACGTAAGTTGGCAAAAGCCAAACGAGCTTTTCGAATCCGTGCTGAGATTTCGTCCGATACCAACCCATTAGGTCTGATCAGACTTCCAAATAAGTGAAGTTGTCAACGCGTTCGACTACTTCACGCCCAACGCATTAACTCTGATGAGCTACAAAGGTCAGATAGCCACTTACATGTACAATGGTTAGAAATTTTATTTAAAAGGGTTTGTATCTTCCCATTGTTATAAAACGAGTATCCTGAATTCCGCTTATAAATACCACCAAACTCAAAGAAAATAATTGTGGGTAAATAAAAATATGAAGTGCCGAGCCAACACACTAACAACTACTCAGAAAAATAGCAGTTTGATCGGCTTTAAACATTTGTCTCTTGGGGTCAGCGGTCACTCTTCCAGGTCGGCAAAATCACTACCTATCCAATATTCTTTTCGGATACCTCAACAAAAAACTATCTTTCCTCAATGTAGGTAACTGGGAAATATCAACTGTTCACATAACTCTAGCAGCATTCAAAAACACCTTGTCTGTATTAAAAGAACTTCATCTCTTTTTAATATTTTTCCTCTATCTCTACTATCAAATTCTGCCTAATGGCTTCCTCTTACATAGTTCTAGTCATGTGCAACGTAGAATCTGATACATAGGTATGTCAGCTCAAGTTGTCATGTCTTATTAGCAAGGAGAGATAAAATTATCGAGGCAAATTCCAGATTACTAACAGTAGTAATAACATTTGTGGTAGTAGGAAAGATTAGGTACATGCAAAGAAATAAGGTATAAAGAGATTTTGTGACACAGGTTAGGTCCAAAAGCAAGAAAAGGAGTGAATGTATATGGATCATACATACTACTACTAATTCTGAGAATACAAATAAATTCTATAATATATTGAAATTTCGATTCATTCATACATCATTTTATGATAATAGAAAGAGACTATAGACAATCAATTTCATTTCTCTCAATTGATGTATTCAGTTAGAAAGGTAAGTTAAGGTGAGTGAAGTGAAGCGAGGTGAAGTAGCATGCAATAATCACTGTCGTAACAAATAACTAACTGGATAAATAAATAAATAAATAAACCAGTGAATTAACCAATCAACAATAAATCAACGATTTCGTTGAGTATTTTTGAAGTTTCAATGTGATGTGTTTTTATTCTTCAAACAACTTCAAGTTGGTTTTCATTTCATATTCATAAAAGGACTGTGTTATACTTGAGTTGATCTAGAATAGTTTCAATATTCAGTCATTGTAATGCATTCAACATTTACGGTTATTTTCTTGTTGTTGTCTAACAGTAAATCAACGAGCACTACATATAGAAGTTTAATTCATTATCCCTAAAGATTTCGTCATTTCAATTCATCATCAATCGGTGACGAAATTCGAAATGATTCAATGGTTAGATGGTGTCATTTTCACTGATGAGACTTGAAGATCATGGATACATTTGTTTCAATGTATCTTGATTTTTGATAATCATTAAACTAATGTCAACGCAAAAATTTCAGAAATTCTCATTGTGGAAATTAATACAAGATATCAAGACGAACAGAGTTGTTTTAAACTCGATCTTTATTAAACTTTACTCTGATACACGATACTTCGTAAAACATTTATGACATATTCATAAAACACAATGACATAAACAGTTATATATTGTAGTTGATATCATGAAGTTACTGTAACAAAACAATCATTGAAAACCAATAGGCACTAAACAACTGTTTCGTCTTAATATAAGACTTCTGAATAGTGTAAATCCACAAGCCTAACATAGATCAAGTTCAAAAACAAAACACCTAATAGCCTCTCTATAAGCTTTCGAACACTGAGTCAAGAACGATCGTTTTGAAATGACGTTGGAATTTCTTCTTTACACGAATGAGACAAATATCTACACACGATACCATGACAGTGTCTATTCTACAGGACTTCAATGCGATTCCCATCACGAACACGTGACTGATCAAACTAGAACGTGCGAATGTTTCAACGACAATAACAAACAATAAGAAATAATAATGTGATAGAAAACATATGACACATTTCATACTTGTCAGACTATCTACTGGTCTGACTAGGTAAACAATCAATCAGTATTTTTATCAGCTACACATCAGGTCTACGTTTTTACAACTCAGCTAGCAGTAAGCCTCAGTAATGAGTAATTTCAAGAAGTAATGCCTAGAGTTCTAGTAACAGGCTATGATCAATGTAGTTCAATTATATCGGGTCTAAGGCAACTACACATCAATATCACTAGATAATAATTTCGTAATGCTGTAAGTTGACTGACTGACTGACTGACTGACTGTCTTCACAAGCATCAACCATTAGGTCCCAACTGGTTAGTATAAGGATTGATGTCTCGCCATCAAGTCTGAAATTCTTTGAATGGTTCATCAGTGTAAAATACTGAAGAGTTCAATGCTACAATGAATGAAATAGCCATTTAATGTTTCCTCATTTTCAATTATTATCTGTCTACAATCAGTCCATCATGTGTATAACATAAACATTTAAACAATCTCTGTAATAAACAAAAAACAAACTAATGCTTACCAATATATTCTAACACTATACCTTTTCCATGAATAATATATGGATCTAATAAATTTCAATTTGATGTAAACTGTAAACCGTATACATTACTGATTGGATCATAAATTTGCTCAACTAAATATGATTCATCTGGTGCATATAATTTATTATAATCTATTGAATTCAATGAAAAGGATCCAGAGGAGATTGAAGTAGAAGAAGAAGATAATGATGATGATGATGATGATGATGATGAATTGATCATTTCTACTTCTGGTAATTTTGTTTTGTCTTTGTGGCGATTGTTTTCAATGTGGAATTATTGATTAAACAAAAACGAATTATTGGTATATTGTTAATTATACCGTCATAAACATTAGGTATACGATCATCCACTAATAAATAATCATGACTACATACAATTCCAGGATTTGATGAACATGCTGATCCAGTAGCTAATATTAAATTATTATTATTTGACAATACAGATCTAAACGATGACAATGATAAAATAGATGAGGATGATGACGAAGCGAAAGCTGATGAAATTTCATCTACAATAATGTAAAGGAACAAAAGTACAAACAGCATAAAATGTGATGAATTGTATGGTGTTATGAGGTTTATATCAATCCATTTCAATCACACTTGATTAATTCAACCATTAAAAAACGGATAAACGCGTGACGGATGCTACACATTTTGACAGATATAAGGAGTATGTAACACCAAAATGAAATAGTGTGCCTGTTAGCAAACGTTTCAGATTGAATTACGAAAAAACAGAAAAGGAAACGGTGAGGAATTACAACGACATTCGAATATGAAGAATGAAGAAGTATGTGCACGACAACTGAAAGGAGACTTGCAAATAAAGGACTTAATTTTACGAAAGCATTGTGATGTTTGACGTTATATGATAAATTGGTTATCCCCACAAAAGTGTTCGTTCAGTGCATTCGAATATTGTGTAATAACGTTTTATTGTTAATAGCACTGATTAACACTGACAGTTATTATATTTTCATCAACTGAATTAAATAAATTAAACAGTTACTTTTGACAGCCTTTACTCATATTTTGATATCATACTGGACGTAATCCCATCTGACTGGTCTCAATCACTGATTGTGCCAGTCTATAAAGACGGACAAAAGTCCTCTTGTGACAATCACAGAGGAATCAGTTTGAATAATATAGTGTCTAAAATATAAGCTTCAATAATACTTCGACGCCTAACTAAAGCTCATGAAGAACAGACTAGAGAAAATCAGGCTGGTTCTTGACTTGGACGTGGTTGTATGGACCAGATATTCACACTACGTCAGGTCCCAGAACATAGACACACATTCAGACGCCCCACAATCGAAGCATTTCTCGACCTTAAGGCGGCATTCGACTCTGTTGATCGTGAGGATCTATGGCAGTGTTTGTCACTGAAAGGAGTATCAAAGAAGTACATTAACCTTATAAAGGCTCTCTACTCGAACACAACTGGTACAGTGAGAGCTTATGGCGAACTGTCATCAGAATTGATTTGTGACATAGTTGACAAAGATAAGGACAATTTTGGTAAATGTTTGTTCTGTGGCAAGTTTCACGCATATCATTCATGTGTATTTCGTAATTTGAAATGTTTTAAATATGGTGAGATTGGACACATTCAATTATTTTGTAACACTACTGTTCATTTTAAGCTTTAGAAACTGTCGACTGTATTCCGTAGGTTTATAACTGTGCAAACTACTTAGGAGTCAAGGGAATACATTATACGGGAAAACCTGCCAGTCTGGTGTAACAATCAGCATGAAAAGCAAGATAAGCATCAGATAAATTTTGGTGGACCAAATTAGGCTTAGTGAGTGATCTTGAAATATTGTCTGCGACTTGATGAAAATAAAACTATTGTAAGTGTTTACAATGCCTCAGAAGGTAACACTTAATTCTCACATTGCAAATTTGAGAAATATTACGGTGTGTGCTACTGATATGGATGGATATATGTAGTTGGTTTCGTCAATCGAAAGTGAAGTACTTGTCAACAGGATGTAGGATGAAAATAATCCCGCCGCAAAATGATAACTACTTTGATGTGTGAAATTCATTGTTGTGCTGGAACTGACATCTATGGTGGGATGATAGGCCAGTGAACGATTTTGTGCGCGTCATAAATAGATGCTTCGAGTTATCGTTGAGTGTGTATTGGTAGAATGACCAGAAAAGCAGCATAGTGACTGTGTTGACGAGATATACGCAAGTGTACTCCTTTTTATTACTGAAGCCTAACGTGGTTTATGTCATTTGAGTGATATGCGCGCGACCTCGTCTGTTACCAAACCGTACTAATGCGCTATAAATATACCGATAAATATGATTATTCATGATGGGTGGGTGAGACTGACTTTTATGTGGCGAACAAGTGTGCATCTTTGAAACATCAGCTCTTAACTACATGTTCTGCCGTACACTGTTTCGGGAATAGTATATTAATTTGAAAACGTTTATAGTTGATGGATGATACAGCATGCTGGTTTATATGTGAACGAATAGATAAGATGAACACAATGGTTATTTATCGGCTAGTAATGTGGCGTCGAATATCTGATGTGTATATTAACATTAAAGTAAGGACCTTCGAACAAAACAAAAATCAGCTGATGTTTCGTCCAGACTGTCTCTAAATAAGTAGGAAGATGACGATTACTGAGTACAGATGCGATGAATAAACAAATGTTGCATAACGAGAAAATTAGTTCATACTACCGAAATTATGACTCAAAACCTATGTCTATGATAGAGTTGCTAACCGTTGCCAATGGTGAGACGGTTGCCACCATGCCGTTATAGAATGCAGGAGGTTTGCTTGACTGCTTAGACTTACGCTTTGTGTGCCCACGCGTGCTGCTAGACCGCCAATTTATTTACCAGGTTGTTCAGTGTACGGGCAGTTTATAAATATTTCGGAGATATATGACATGTGATAGCCATAATTCCACAAACATGAACGATGTTAATTGAACCATTTATGTGATAAATGATCCAGAACATAATAAACGAGGTAAGTAGTGGAAGGAATGAAACTGAAAGACGTGACTAAAATCTACTTCTGGACTGGCTCCATGTTGGTATTAAACTACATACTCAGTACAACCTCACGCTTCAGGACATATGTAGCTGATAGATTCAATTTCATCCGCGAACAAATAGGGCCATCACAATGAACGTTCGTGCCATCAACTATAAACTTTGCTGATTTAGCTTTCAGGACACGAATTTCTAATAACCGAAAAGAATATATAAACTGGGTATAAACGGAATGAGATATAAGGGTTCCCTTTCGAGCTGGAGATGAAGAACGTTGCAGCCTTGAACACCAAGACTATAGTTTTTCCTTCAGATATATTTGTATCGTATTTTTCGTCGAGGACCAAACTTAAACAATGTACAGCTTGACTCACTCTATTCAAGCATTACCTCTGCAAGAAAGCGATAGGGAGTGAACCTTTTTCGCTTAATGAACTGGACAATGCCGAGAAGGATTTATTAGAAAACGCAAAAAAGCGAAAATTCGAGGAAGTTGAATAAAATGACACAAGACTTCATACAATATGACTGCTAGGAATTATGTGATCAGTGAGTTACGATCGATCGTAATTGACAACCTGGTTCGTGCAGGAGGATATTTTGACACAACTGATCGGAGACCTACAATCCACGCGGACGACGCTCGGTTTTTTATTCGCAACAACGGGGATAGATTATTTTGACACGATTATGGTTAAACTGGGCGCAAATTTCGAAAGCATTACGTTTGCATATTAAAAAGCTTTAACATTGGAGCAATCCATCTACAAGTTCCTTGCGCACTATTAACAGACGTCTTTCCGACGGCCTGTGTTAGTCCCGGCAATGGTGGTCTCCAAGTTGATTCAACTTTATCGTGGAAGAGTCGACAGACTGAGCCTCAACCACGTGCTGAGGTAATTAATTCCACGGCAGTGTGCAGTAGTCTTTAAGTCTTGGCTAGGGATGACTACTAAGTCTGGACGACAAGTAGCTCAGTGTTATTCGTCGTGTATGTATTTGTACCTTGATGACCGATATGCATCACAACACACATGGAAGTATTTATCCGCAACTGCCAGGTTTAAGATCATTCAGGTAATTTCTTCAGATCATTTAGGAGTTCCAAACTATCACACTTACAACATATCGTTCTGCATATCTTGACATCGTCAACATATAGCAAGATCGATGATGATGGGAGACAAGGAAGGTCATTTACATACAAGAGGAATAGCACTGGTCCCAAAACTGTTCCCTGGGGCACTCCACTAAGCACAGTTCCCCAGCTAAATATCTTCGAGTTCACCCGTACTCCTTGTTGGCGACAACTAGGAAGTCTTTTATCGACATCAATAGATTGCCTCCAATTCCGACATTTCTTAGCTTATATAACGACAGCTTGTGCGGAACTTTGTCAAAAGCTTGGCTGGAATCAATGTAGGCTACGTCTACAGGTAGCTTTTGGTCCTTAAGAGCGCACCAGCTTTCACGAGCGACTAGTAAGTTAGTGAGACAAGAATAACTTATTCTGAAGCCGTGCTGCTTCTCCGAAAGGATCCGGTTTTCATCGAGGTACTAAAAAGCTCCTTCCGAATAATAGTTTCTCAAATTTTAACAACCACACCAGTTAGGCTAACAGGGAGGTAATTCTCAGGTTTGCGTTTCGTACCTGTTTTGAAGACAGGACTAACTATGGTGTTCTTTCAGTCCTTCGGTAAACGATCCTGCATTACGGATAGATTAAAACATATACTTGAATGGTTTGCAACGAAGTTAGATAATTCCTTCAGTAGACTAGGATTAAATTCATCGGGCTCCGTAGATTACCTATGTCAAGCTTATTGAGCAGACCAGAGACATCGAGTTCTTTAATGATCACGCTATATAGTGTATGTGTGGGGGATTTGTATGCGCTGACGTGAACGGTGCTTCTATGGTAAAGTAGTTCGAGAACACTTGAGCCTCACCAAAGTCGTCCTGCACTAATGATGCAGCAATACTGTCCCCTCATAGTGTACGAATATTTCCTCTTCTTTTTGTCCTGTGACTGCAGTTATGTCTGGCTTTGAAGAATCAATCTGTACACCTAGTTCCGGTCGCTTACTGAGTAAGCTTTGAGCATTAGTGTAACAGATCCGAAGCCTATTTAAGCGGCATTGTTGCGATTCTTAACTCGCAGAGATTTGCGGAAGAAGATATACAGTGATAGACGAATTAACATTGTTGGGTAAGAGAAGGAGTCACAACTTCTATTGCCGAACTTAAAAAATAAAATAGTGGCCAAAGAAATGACCAGACGGAACATAGAATGCACTACAATGCCCCTCACGCAAGTCATCCTGGAGAAATGTGGAAAATATTAATAAGAAGTGTACGCAGAATTTTGAATTCACTATCTGGTGAGCAGACTACTTCCTGTGGGATGCTCACCACTTGTTTGACTGCAATAGAAATAATACTTGATGATAGACCTCTATCACAATTACTT